TCATTGTGGACAATAAAATATAAAATTTATTTTTTTAAATATTTTAATAACAAAAAAAATGCGTAACTGTAACAATTTAATAAACCAACAATATTTTAATTAACAATTTTTATTACTAAATGTCTAAAGTGTACTCCATTCTTACTTTTACATTAGACCTTGCTCTTCTTGACTAAAAAATATAATATTTCTTCATACAAAATAAAATTTAAAATTTTAGAAATTGTTAAATATTTTAATTTTAAGTATTATAATAGGAAATAGTTAGATAAATCGAAGGGTCGTCAAATTGTAATGAAAAAATTAATAACTTGAAAATCATTCACAATTTAAAAATGTAAAAATGTATGGGGTGTTTCCTTTGAAATATTTTAGAATAATAGACTTTTACGCTTTTACAATTTCAAATCGATATCCTTTCCGTTCCTCATGAGGAGTATCTGCAGAAACTTCTAAACTTCCATTAATGGACCACAAATGTAAAGCAGAGTGTTAAATATACATTGTATATTATACAATGCAAATTTAGCAGTATAACTTAGTAAAAAAAGTTACCATAGTAACAAATTAACAGTTACCAATGGTAACTTACCATAGTAACAATAAACAGTTACCATACCACCGCCCTCGGTGGTGTTACACCACTGGTGTAGTAGTCAGCACTGCGGACTACAAGCCCATTAAAATAATAATAATAAAAATAAAATAATAAGAATAATAATAATAACAAAATAATAATAACAAAATAATAATAACAAAATAATAATAATAACAAAATAATAATAATAATTAATAGTTTTTTGGAATTATGAGTTTTTTAATTTAATATTAGGATTAAAGGTAAAAAAAATATCTTGTTACTGTTATATCATACCAACTATGTAAAGGGGAAAACCAGAACAGCGGTGGCCTGTAGGAATTTTTTTTAGAAAAAGAGGCGTTGCCCTAACACTACCTGTGTTATGTTATTATTATTTACTCCTAATTGAGTTAAAAGACACCAATTTCAAAATAGTTATTTTATATATGGGTCGTTCCACGCCAAATCGGCTACTTCTGAACCCGACCCCTTTCGATTTGGCTGAAATTATGTTATATTTTTTCACCCCACCAAAAGTTTTTTTTAGTTTTTTTCACCAGACCAAAAACATGTTAAAAATTTTTCAAAAAAATGTCTCTTTTTTCCCAAACTTTTTTGTATTTTTTTCTGAAAAGTTCATTCAAAACCAAAAAATTAAAAAAAAAACGCCCCATTTTGTCAAATGTTGACAAAGTTAAATGTATTTTAAAAGAAAATTGGCCATTTTTTTGAAAATTCATAACTTTTTTTTGGTTGGGTAAAAAATTTGGAAAAATTCTGAAAAACTTTTTAAGTAGAAAAAATTTTAAAAAGTTTTGTAAAATCGAAAAGGGTCGGGTCAAAAGGGGTCGATTTGGCGTGGAATTCCCCATATATATATATATATATATATATATATATATATATATATTTATAAATTAACTATAATGAAATTTGAGTTTTCAGCCCAGTTATTTTTAATTATTAGGTATACCTAATTAATAAATTAATATGGTTTAAAAATCAGAACCTTTATAAAGGTTACTACCTTCGATTTCCTGTCAGAATGAAGACCTCAAAAACAGTATAGTTCTGATTAAATCAGAACAGTTGGTCACCTTAACATACACATAAAAAGCAAACCGCCCAAAAACGATTAACTGCAGTGGGAGAAAACCTGAAATAACCTGGATAACATTGAATTCACTGGCCAACTATTGTATAGAGATATATATTTGTCCCATATTATATTATATATTAATATGGGACGAAAATATATCTTTAAAACTACTGAGCATACAATTAAAAAGGGGAAATTAAGACCCTTAACTAGTCGCGCAGGTGCTCCGAGTGCTCCGTTTTTATTAAAACCTCTGTAAATTTTTATCGTTTTCTTGGAATTGAATGTTCTTTCTATATGTAACCTATGATTGATGTGTCTACCATGCACTGTCGACTGCAGGTTTAAACTACTGATTTCGAAGTTATAGAATGCGTAAGATTGATTTAAAAATACTTCACTATTACGTAACTAAATTTCAATTTTTGCAACGTAAAATATTTCTAAATCAACAAAATATGGAATTCGAAACATAAACATTGTTTTAGAGTATACCCAATGGGTATTACCCATAGATTAATAACCTTAATAACTGAGTATACCTACATTTTTATAAGAAACACTGTTCCCTGGATGTGTCAACTGCAGGAAGGCGGATAAATAGCTCAGAGTTGAAGTGTGAATTTTGCGAACCAGTTTGTTGGTAGACGGTCTACCGTAGACCAGATCCCTTTTGGAGGAATGAAAGTAAACATAACAAATTACCTGCTTATGAGACAGCTATCAACAATATGCGAAATATTTTTTTAACCACCTGTGAAAGTCACGATGACACTTCACCTTAAATTCGGCACAAAAGTCGTGTACTTTCAAATGATTGGCACTGTACGTGCTTTCCTAAGACTCAAAAAAACTGTTTGCTTAAACAACATGGAGTATACTATGGTAAATTTATTTTACCAAAATACCAAACAAAGCAATTTTAATAATTAACAATTTAAACATTTTCCTTTAGATTGTATTATCATCTAGTTCTGAGATATGTTTAAAGTTTTAAGTAAATACTTTTATCCTATACTATGTACAGCTTAGTTTAAAATTGATTACTAAATTTGTACAAACTTAAAAAAAGCGAGTTAGGTACTTAATAAATAAAAAAGGTTTAATAAAATATTAATAAAAAACACGGTATTATTGTTTAAAAAATGATAAATAAAAATATTAAGTAAGAAAATTACACAATAATAATAATAATTCATAAATAAAATAAAATGTTTAAACAGAAATCACTACATTTTTTAAAAGTTTTAAAGTTTAAGATGCCAAATTTTATTTCAACATTGAGGTATAATATTTTTATTAAAACCATGGTTTCTATGCTTTTTCTACTCCAAGTAATTTTCATTGATAACAAAATTTATTATAGCCTCACTTTTCTCCAAATTTAAGGATAATTGTAGTCGCCCCTCATATATATAAACAAACCTTTGTATACAAATAACAATGAATATTAAAATCAGCCAATCACTGATCCCTAAAAACGTGAATAATGAGTTCATTATTCAAGTTGTAAGGCCGGGCGGTTATATTGGTTACCATTATTTACGGAAAAAAACCCAAATAATGTCAATAGGAGTATAAAAACACCTTTTAAACTGTACTTATTTATTTAAATAAAAACAATTTACAATAACAAAATGAAAATACGTTTGTCTTCAATAAATAATTTAACACAAAATATAAACACTATAATTAAATATTTACAAAACAATGACTGCAAATAATTGACGAATGCAACACGTAAGAAAATAAGGTTGGTATAGATAGATTTTTGTAAAAGCCTAATTTTTTATCTCTGAAACTATAAAAAATGTCGTATACTTATGTACTCGTTTTTTTCTTTCAGAAGAGATGATTTAAAGACACGTTTTTATTCGCCAACTAATTTTAGGTTATTTATTAAAATATATACACAATTATAGATATAAATAAATGACTTTCTGATATGACAATCTTAAAAAATATATTTCTAGTAATAAGTCGTTGCTATTCGTTATATAAGTTTTTATTTTAACATTGCAAATATACAAAAATTTACAAAATCAAGTTAATTGTAAAACCCACAATTTTTTTTACAAAAAAAAACCTCGAAATGTTTGTATAATATGCTTTAAGGCTATATCCATGTATTAAATATACCATACCTTAAAGTATATAAAACACAGACATAGGCAATACATGGATTTCCATAATAGGTACATTTTTAATGCCTGATTTAAGTTATTTGTGTATTTGCAATGCACTTGCTCGTTTGTTGATATTTACATCATAAAAAACTACAGAAATTTATTTAATTTAGAATCCCAGCTCTAAGCGATATGTATATTCAGTAAAGATATGCTAAATCATTTTCATATTTTTTTGTGCCATTATATTATATTATATCCTTTTAAAATTTAAAATTACAATTTTTACAGTAACTACACAAGTATCATAGTAATCACAGTTAAGGTAGGTATGTATGTTTTTAATGATCAACAAGAATTTTTTGTAATAAATAATAATAAATAAAGTCTAGGTACTAACAATCGTCTTGCGTTTTAAAGAATGATTGGTCGTCTTTCAAAGATTCATAAAGAGTATTAGCCTAGTCACTTAAGGTATTTTTTAAAACAATCTACAGAAAAGTAACATTGTATGTTTGCCTTAATCCTGTATTTTATCCTTTAAAAAACATATAAGTGTCAAAACATATCAAATCAACCAATGACAATTTTTTTATCTAAGTTTTTAGTATACTCAGAAAGTTGAAAACTAGTATTAATTAATTTTTTAGATGATCAGTTGTTTATTCAAAGCGGCCGCTTTTAATATTGTCTGTTTTATTGATAATTATGTCATAAATAAAATGATTATAATAAGGCTCGTCTAAAAAAAAATGTGTGCACCACTGCCAAAAAGTGATATTTTTTATCGTCTTTTTTCATAAAATTAGATAACAATTATCGTGTTGTTATTAAGTGGTTAAAATTTTATCACTGGGACTTTATTAGTTTTAATTGTTTAAAAATAATTGGTGGCAACAAAAAAATGTTTTCTGAAAATTTTGGTTTATAAATATATATTTCAAATAAAAAATACCCGATTTTAGATTATTTGCAATATCTGAACACCCATTAAAAAGGCCTAAAACTTTTTGGTGAAGTAGTATATTATTATTAGTATTATAAGACTATTTATAGTATTTAATTTAACAATGTTTTTGTTTATTTAAAGTTAACTTAGTTATTATTGGAGCTACAAAGGTTAAATTAGTAAATTGGTGTTTTTTGTCTTCTGATTAAAATAGCGAAAACAGAAAAACAATTAAATCTTGGGATTCCGAAATACTCACAAAAAACAGTTTTTAAAATGAAATATCCTAAATATTTTTACATATTTTAAAAGACAATTTAATTGTTGGTTATTGCATAACTACCCTTAACAATTAGTAATCACTTGAACTGTCTGATTGTTGTTAAAATAAAGGAATAATTTGGTTATTTCAACAATCATCAGAAAGTTAAAGTGCTGGTTTAATTATAATTTTAGGGTGGGTATCTGAAAATATGTAAAAATATAAAGGGGTGTCCCATTTAAAAAAATTTATTTTTGTGAATATTTCGAAAACCCAGGTTCAATTATTTTTCTAATTTCAACATTCAAATTAGAAGAAAAAATACCACAAATTTGCTAATTTAATTAAAATAGTAGCAATGGTGAGCAGATAACTTTGAAAATGGTGTTGTATACTGGAAAGAAAATATTGTAAATTTTATGCTTTTTAACGTGGTTTTATTTAAACTAAATATATTTAAAAAAAACAGAGTTTAACTCAATTCTCTGTAAACTGCAAAATAGGCTGACCGCGCTCACAGAAAAACTGAACATCTAAAAAATTAATGAATATCTGCACCTTTTTAAATTAAATTTGTTGATTTAATATAAATTAACCCATAAATCATTTAACGCTTTACTGGAACAACGTTCTCAAAATAAAAAGTTGCATTTTCTTCGTTTAGTCGCTTTGTGTAATGTCACTTTTATTTAAAAATCAGTTTTTCGACGTCATTCTACCAAAGCAGTTAATTGAGAAGCTTAGAAGTGACTTTTGATTTAAATCTGCATTTGCGCTATATTTTAAATATTTTAAATTATTCATAATATTGCTTCTAAAATCTTCAAGTCTTATAATGATATTTTTTATTTAGTCCAAAGGTTTTTCATGCTTGAATAGTGTATAAATTTTAATTTTGTACAACTGTATTTATACAAATTTAGGATTCAGCAAAAACCAACATATGCTACTTTTCTGTAAAATAAAACGTGACCACCGTATAGTTTAAAGAAAAAACACGATAAGATGTTTAGTTGCTGAGCGGCTTATACGAAAGAGAAAAAACTGTTGAAATCTACTTAACTACAGAAATGTTCGATTGCGGCAATTTGTTAAAGTTCGTTTTGGTTTTTCGTTTATTAAATCGCGTTACACCGAGTATATTGCACTGTTTGTTTGGGAAGTTTGCGAAGAATTGGACGAACAGTAGTCCGAGCTTGCCATTTGGTCGATTGGCTATTTGGTGGTGCCGACCAGCGGGCTCGCGCCGTAAGTCTGCGAGTTGCAGGTCGGAAGCGCGAACGGATTCATTGAGGCAAACGGTGATGAAACTAATCCCATTCCTGAAACAACATTTCAAAATTAGCATTCATTTCAATGTGCAATGTGTGAAAAGACAGTTTTTTAACTCTTTTTGGTTGGGTTAACAAGGAAGTATTAACACTACAGGTTAGTTTAATTGAGGTCTGTCATAGCAAAACCGACAATCTCCACTTTTGGTCAAAAATTAGATTTTTGGCGGAGACTATACTTCAACTAATTATCTATAAGATGTGCTGCAAAAGGAGCTAAATCCTGCCTAAAATCCTATTTTAAAAATGACATTTAGTGCAAAGTCGACAATCTCCACTGATAGATTTGCAGCAAAGTATACAATCTCCAATTCCACCATTAGAAATTAGTAATTTTTGTCACCTGATATCCTAACATTTGATGTTATAACGTATTTTAGAGATTTAATTTTGTGTTTTTTTACTGGTACATACTGTTAAGTTCTATTGCAGTAAATGGCACTTAAAAATATATTTAAAATAGGTATATATACGTTTTATTGTTTTAAGAATTATAAAAAAAGTTATCTTGTTTATTTTGTGCTATTATACCATAATAAGAAAAGGTAAAGCAAGAAAAGGCTGATAATGTTAAAACATTGCAAGTAAAACATTACGGGGCAAAGTGGGAAGGAGATGATGAGTGGTACTATAAAAATTGGTCCCAGATTTAGAAGAAACTCCAGATTTATGTGGTCCAATTTTCCCACATTAATTGTATAGTTAAATTTTATAACCATTAAAGGGAGAAAAATACAATTATTTTTTATTAAGAAGATGTTTTAAGAACGAACTGAAATATTCAAATAATTAATATTGATATAAAAATAAACTAAAAAGAAGATTAAAGTGATAATTCCCTTTATATAGAAGACAATTATCGCTTGATTACAGCGATAATTGTCTACTATATCTACTAAGAATCGATAATTCCATTGTATCTACGTATCCAGGCAATTAATAAAAATATTTGAAAATGTTATTCTTTTATTAAATTAGTTTATTCGTGTAATTACCTAAACAAATTACACATGTGCATAAAAATAATCAGATAATGTTGCATTCAAGCATATTGCCTTTTCATATTTTGAGGAAAGAGCCCCTTCGGTGTCTTTCTAAAATATGAAAATAAACTCATGCATTTTTTAGGTAATATGCTTTCAAGCAAAATCATCGATAATTTTTAAGCACTTGTGTAATTACCCCCGATAATTTAGATTTTTTCAAAAGGGTTTTTTTATATTTTTTCCTTAATATCTATACCATAAATTATAAAAAGCACAAACTGACAGTCTCTAATTTTTTACACATAAAACATCTAAACAATATTTCCCCTGTATCGGATGAGCGAAGGGAATGGCGAGCTGCGAGACAATTTCAAATTGTATCATGATTTCAGGTAGGCCAAAACATCGGCCAGGGGGGTTGCTATATTGCGTTACAACGTATATATAGTGGCCTCCTTTATGATGAACATTACGTGCCAGGCACATTTGTTTTGTTCATTTTATTTATACACCTTAATATACTTGAAGTTTTACAATTTATTATATTTTACAATAACATAAATAAATATTTTTGATTTTTTGATTTGATTTGATAATTTAGAAAGAATAAAATTTATAATCAAAAAGAAAATGAGAAGCTATAGGTTATCCTAGACTCGCTTGCTCCAGTAGGTACCTCTGAAAAGAGAAGATTCAGCTGGCCAAATCCCGGAAGGAAAAAGCCAAACAAAGCAAAGAAGAAGAAGAAGAAGAACAAGAACAAAAAGAATTAATTTTTGCCCACATTTTCCGCTTACTTGGTTTTTAATATATAAAAAACTAAGTAAGCCAGCACAAGGATTCTTTAAGACGAAGAAAAATGGTAATAATAGTAGTAAATACAAATTAAGCTTACGCCGCGATTGCTTATTCCAGCAAAATTATCTTGCGCTACTCGTTACCTTTATTTTTTTTTATTAAATCGATTGTTTTGAGTGCCTTTAAAAAATATCGAGCATATCTTTTGTCACAAAAAATGCCCTGACCTATAAATGTAGAAACGAAACGAAATTATCTGAACGTCGAAATCTCCATCACGTGATGATTTTTTGGGTTTTTGGGATTGCACATTTCATCAATATATACTCATAGATAAAAAATTAATTGCTGTCTTTTAATTAAGAACACAAGATTATCCTCTTCAAAAAAAAAGTGCAGCAACGCTTTTTCTATGTTCCGGTTCCTATTCGACATTTTAGTACCTAATTTTTATTCAACCTTGATGCTAATAATTCTGTAGACATTTTTAAGGGGTCAAGGTCTATGATAAGTTCGTATAAGTATCTTTGATCGAAAAGTTCAGGTCTCGAAGTAGTTCCCAAAAAGTCATCATCTGTGTTATTTGCTTTTTTAAGTACGCCGACGATGGATGTATTAAAAGAGCCTGGTGCCTGGTACAGGAATTTCCTTTGAATGCGAAATTGGTCAGGATGGTCCACAAGCCTTTTTTTAATTATTTATATCAATAATGTTGATAAGGCAAAAATAACAAGCATCAATATAATTTTATGGTTCTTTTTTTGTAGCCAAATATGCATTTTTCGCATTTATCAATAATTTGCCATTACTAAAACAATTTTGATCAGATAGATTTGGAATTTATGTATGTTAAAGGGGACACAATAAGAACAAAAATATTTTTGACACGTTTTCAAAAATGTTTTTTCGCAAGACACAAGCAAATTAATTAGAATCAGTGGGCTCCCCTAGAAAACATACTCACCAAATAGACATTTTTTAAATAAAAACAACAAATAAAATACAAAATAAATACAACAATAAAAAATAAATACGCATAAATGGCAACCCATATATTATATCACCCAAATTATAAAACCAAGTTCCTCAATTTTGTCACAGAAATATTTATATTACTACTATATATCCCTTAAAGAGCTTATTTCAGGAGTTTATAAAGGTTATCGTTACCTGTATTAAGTAATACTATAAAAATCAAGTTACATAACTAAACGTAAGAAACATTCTGAAAACCACTATATATCTTCTTAAAGAACTGTTACCATCTCCTTGTTTAAACCACGTAAAGTTTGGCAAATATATTAAAAGTATAATAATTATTTATATCTAACATTAACTAAATAGGACTTAAAAATAAACTCGTCATTTTTATTGTAAATATGCACACAACACTTCGATAAACGGCAGTGGACTTCAAACCAATAAAACTAAAATATTTTTTATATTATTAAAAAATATATATTTTTATGAATATCTTTCTTTTGCTTGCATTAAACAAATTGTTAGATTTTTTAAGTTAATTTGGTCCATTAAGTTGTTTTTTAATACTATTTTATTAACATTAATTTTACATAAACAATTATGGCAGAAGAAATGTATCAACCCTGAGCCCTCTTATATTGCGTGTGGTAATTTTATATTAAGTTTTATTGTAGAATTTATTCTACTGAAATCGTTATTATACAATGTATCAACCCTGAGCCCTCTTATATTGCGTGTGGTAATTTTATATTAAGTTTTATTGTAGAATTTATTCTACTGAAATCGTTATTATACAAGGTGTCCCTAAACTTATTGGCATAAATTTAGGAAAAGATTAAGCAAGTCAAAATAAGACCAAAACCTAAATAAATATTTTTCCTAATTACTTTTGTTTCCAAGATACAGGGTGATAAAGTGTTACTTATCATATCAGTTTTTTTAATATAACTTCTACCATGGTAGTCTTGGAAAGGTGATATCTTGCGAACAGTCACTTACTACTAAAACACATATTCACACATAATTACAATTCTTCGAGTGAACACAGTGTCGTAGAAACAGGGGTTGCTTAAGCTTATTGTCCCATACAAACTTTGGGTTAGGTTTTTATACCATTTGATGCAATATTTCGATGACTCAGTTCAGCTACTCTTAAAAAGGTGTACCTCTCAAACTTCGATAAAATAAACCGTTTCCGAGATATTCGAGATTACAATAATTGTTATATCGCATTAAAGGACTGAAAGGTATATGATAAGAAATTTTTTAATTGAAAAAACAACATTTTTTTTTAATGTGACGGTCAGGGCAAAAAGTCCTGAGGCTCATGGAATGCCCTTTTTAGTTTTTTCAAGGAAAAAATAAAATTTGTTATCATATACCTTTTAATCCTTATAAATAATGCGATATAACAATTATTGTAATCTCGAATATCTCGGAAACGGTTTATTTTATCGAAGCTTTAGAGGTACACCTTTTTAATGGTAGCCAAACTGTGTAATCGAAAAATTGCATCAAATGTTATAAAAACCTAACCTCAAAGTTTGTATGGGACAATAAGCTTAAAGCAACCCCTGTTTCTACGACACTGTGTTCACTCAAACAATTGTAATTATGTGTGAAATTCACACTGTGAATATGTTTTTGGTAGTAAGTAACTGTTCGCAAGATATCACCATTCCAAGACTACCATAGTAGAAGTTATATTAAAAAAACTGATATGATAAGTAACACTTTATCACCCTGTATCTTGGAAACATAAGTAATTAGAAAAAATATTTATTTAGGTTTTCGTCTTATTTTGACTTGCTCAATCTTTTCCTAAATTTATCCCAATAAGTTTATGGATACCTTGTATAATTTTGAAATTCTTATATACATTGTAGTAACTGGTTACTACAAGTGATGTTATAAAACTATACAAAATATTTTATTTTTAAGAATTTTTGATTAAAATTATAAAAAAGCGTTACTTCGAAAGTTGACACTTAACTTATTTTGTTTTATTTAGCACATAAATAATTACTAACATTTTTAATTAATAAAAATGTAAAGAGTTAAAGTTTTATAAAATAGGTACATAACCATAACACTATAAAACTTTAAAAATTAAAAATTTTAATTAACCCTCTGGTAACTGTTGGATTTTATAAAATGTTTGTAAAAACCTAAATACTAGAGGTTACACTGTAACCGTTACAGTAACCTTATATGACCATTATAAAACTTGTAAACTACCTTTATATTTGTCGCATTTATGTCAATAAAAAAAAGAATTTTATGTTTGTTGGTTAAAATTTAATAATTACCTACAACTAACTAAAAAAAGGTTAAACGAAATGAACGTATAAAAAATGCATATTAAATAGCCTAATAAGGTAAAGAAGAGGAAAATATAATAGACAAGATGACACTACTAGGTATACGTAATACGGGGAACAAAACACATTAGCTCACTACACAAATGAACTAAATCTACTTGGTGTTTAAAAGCGCAACGTTTATAAAAACAAATGTTACGCAATTAGCGTGGAATGAGGGAAATGAAACGATAAAAAATAATATACTAACACTGCACAGCCAAGTGGTGCCAACCGGTGACGGGCTGGTGGTGGAAAAGCGCGGGTGCCGGAGGGTAAACCGAGGAGGGAGACTCGGTGCCCCGTATCACGGGAGCGAACGCGCTTTTCTCTTTGTTCGATGCCGGCTCCGTCTTAGTATTGTGTACGCCAAAATGATAATGACCCGCATCAGGTGAAACTAAAATAAAAATTCCATTCAACTCATGTAGAATTACAAGTGGTTTTGCTTAATTTTATTACTACTACTAATACTACTACTACTACTATATATTATTGGTCGAGTTGAATATGACTTTTTACCTTTTAAATATTTTTAAACGATATTTTTATAGTTATTGCCAAACCACCTGCAAATCCTAGTGTAAACCCGTTCAAAAATGCGGTTTTTTCGATGTATGTATGTATGTATGTATGTGTTAAAAATAAACTAAAAATACATATTCAACCCGACTTAAAGTAATATAAAAATAATATATTAAATAAAATAACTTAAAGTTAAAACTAAATAAAATAATAAAAATATATTATTTTTTGTTAATAAAATTATAATTTAATATTGATTGTTTAATTTTATAAAGGAAAAGTAAACAAAAAACAAATATATTTTTTAAGTAATTACTTCGGAATTTTGAAATGATATATACTTTTAAAAATGGCGGATGCGCCGGGATAGTTATATTAATATTTCTTTGTGTTTTAATAATTTTTAATACTTTTCTTTTATTAAAAAATATTAATTTTAAATAATGAAGTGACAAAAAGCAAAGCATATTTTTAAAATGGTATATTGTACATTATTTTCTGGACATTATATTAGGTTTAAATACATGGTATCCCAAAAGTCGCCCACTACGTTACAGAAACCCAAAAGTCCCAGAAAATTTTAAAAAAATTCTACCTTCATTATTAAATTTAAAATAATAGGTTTATCTTGTTTATTTAACACTTATATACAGGGTGCACCAAGTATTCTTCTATGGGTATTATTTTTATTTAAAGATCTATAAGGTCGCTTATATCAGAAAAAAGTTGCCTGTTGAAATAAAAATTTTACATTCAAAAAGATGTTGGGGTGTTGTTTATTGCCGTGATGATTTGGAATTAAACTACGACTTTATTATGTGCCATTTTAGGAAGAAAATATGTATCCCCTGTATCTTTATAATTAAGGTAATTTTTTTAACAATTTTTGGGATTTGTGGGGTCTGTAGATCATACACCTTCAAGGTAATGGGTGATTTTTGGGACACCCTGTATAACATATAATATTTTTTTTAATATATATATTTTTGTATTGCCTAATTGCTTTAATTGTCTACTTTTTCCACTACAATAGTTTAACTAACTTTTGTTACAAATAAAAGTTACTAAAGCAGTAGGTACTAAATGTTATTTGATAGAAAATTTGATTTAGATTATCTTAATTTTTAAGAATTATTATCTAAGACAATGAATTTATTTAACAAATAAATAAAACTATTTGGAATTTGTCAAAATAAATTAAAAATATTTAAAAAAATATATAAATTTATAAATTAAAAATAAATAGTAAAGAAGAGGCATGAATTATACATAATATGTTCATGACATTTATTTAGTATTTTTTTTATTTCTTTATATTCATAATATTTATAAAACTAATCGAATTAATTCGAATATTAGTATTTGATTATAATATTTAAATTATTCGACAGTTTCGAATAATTCGAATGGTTTAAATAATTTGTATGGTTCCAATTATTCGATTTGAATCATTAGAATTCCAGCATTAAAAATTTAATTTTTTTAATAAGAACCGGTTAAAATAATAAAATAATTTAAACTTTTTTCATCTTTGAAAATTAAAAAAAATGTTTTGTCATATAATTAATTAATATCCTAAAATATAAATTTTAACCATTGGAATCATTATAATTATAATTATTTCTAATCATTCAGATAATTCGAACTATTTGAACATTTAGAACTAATCGAATAGGAATTTTAAATTCAAATTTCGAATAAAATTATTCGATTTGATTCGTCTCGAATAATTCGTGAATTCGAGTATTTGCAGACCCTTATTTATAATATTTATGAAAATATATAAGCTATATTGTTTTTTAATCAAAATTTTATTTACCTGTGTAATACATGTTCAAAACCGTTTTTTGTCATTATTTTTGTAAAATTACACATTTTATTTTATTAAGGAAAAAAAAAATTATTTATAAAAAATAAAATAACAAGAAGAATATACCTAAATTTAATTCATAAAAAAACAGAACTTTTTCTATGTGAACATGAAATTTATTAAAAATTTAGGAATTTTTACATAATTTTAGTGTTTTTAATGTGAAGTTACTCTCTAAAAATGAAATAGTCAAAATTCTTCTATTTGAATTAGTACCAGCATTTTTTACTAATAAAATAGTCTTTTTCACTTTTAAATATTAATTTTTTACTACGTAAATAGTTAAAGTTTGACTAATTTAAGATTAGTCACCATCTTTGGCTATTTCTGAGAGTTAAAAGTAAATAATTTCTTTAATCGTTTGCGGCAAGCAACAAAGTATTATTTGAATAAAATGCATATACCTAAGCTCCATGGTTAAATGACCCATAAAAACAAATAAAGATGCAAAAAATTTAGCTCAAAACAGCAACACAAATAATATATTCAACTTTAAAATATTATGAACAATATTTATTGACAAATAAAATTGATTTTTATAAGAGCGGCCGAATGGGTTATGACAACAGCTTGACAAGCTTGACAAATGGCAGACATGAGTTCAATCCCCGGCTGGGTTAAAACTTTTTTAAAATTTAAATCTACTAATTTGACTATTTCATTCAGTAGAATTTGACTAATTATTAGTGTCTGCTTTTGCAAATTAGTCAAATATGACTTATAATTAGTTATTTTTGACTAATTCATTTTAACCCTTAAGCAGGCACGCGGGGTGTACAAAACACCCCAGCTTCCTAAATATAGCTACCGGTCTCACTTCGATTCGAATAAATGGCGCTTACTTTCAGTACCTTCCTGTTAAAGTATACTCAGTCATATTACATTGCCGATTTTGAAGTTAATGTAATAGGTTGTCTGGTATTTTGTTTTAAACAGGCTCTGGGTGCTGTGGACACCCCGTGAGCAGGCTGGGTTTCGCCTCCCTATTGACTTTTTTTTACCAAATCATAATTACTTGTAAAAGTAAACCTTATCTTAAGTGCTTAGTGTTTTTTTGTTTTTATTATTATTATGACTTTTAAAATTTGTTTTTTTTTTTAATAAATGCTTTATTTGATTAAAATTGTCGTCTTTTGACATTTTCTTTTTTTTGTCATCTTTTATCAAATTTGAACGCAACGACATATGTTCTCATTGTCTCTCAGATCATCTTAACTTGATAACTTTGAAAAAAAAAAACAAAAAAAATGTAAATAACACTCAGGGACGCTTTGCCTTCAGGGGTGTCTCTGACACCCCGCGTGACCTACTACGTTGCATAAAGAGGTGCGCCTGCATAAGGGTTAAGAGAGTAGAAAAAAAAATGTTCGTAGTTATTTAAAGAAGTATAAAATAAATGAAGTCAAAAAAATAGGATTATAATACTTACGGGGTGTGGTATTAAAGATGCCCGCCGACGGTGAGCTGGGCAGCATGTTGGACAGCTGCGCCGTACTGGTCGGCGTGGAGCCGCCGTAGCCGTTCATGTTGCTGGCGTAGCTGCCGCCGCCGTTCGACGAGTGCGGCGTCGATGCGCTCGAACAGTACCCGCCCCCTCGCGGCGACACGCTGCTGCTCTGCGTCCGACCGTACTCCTCTAAAAGAAAAACCCTACAGGTAAAAACCTACGGTCAGTACACACGCATCACACAAGTGTTTTTTGTTTTTTGAATACAAAAACCAGAAGCGATCATGATATGTAATACAACCATACAGCTATTTTCTCTAACTGTTGCTTTGGCCTCAGAGGTATACAGGGTGTTTCATAATATATGCGCAGGACTTCAGGATGTGATAGCTCATCCAAAAAGATGAAAAAAGTCGCTATTAACTTACGCTCTAAAATGCACAATTTTCGAGATACAGGGTGTTGAAATTTTATAAAAAAATTCGTTTTTTTTCGGATATCTCCAGAACCGTTTATCGTACAAAAAACAGCTTTTGTAAGCATTTTCTATTCAAAATAAGCTATGTTTTGTGCCAGAAAAAAAAATTTTTTCCTCATAATTGGTGGATTTTGAAGGGGTAGCGGGTGTTTTTCTCATTAACTTCTACGCCCCTGAAAAAAGTACGGTTTTGAGAGGCCCATTCGAACCGCCAATGTTTTCTACACAAAAAAGGTACTCTTTGTCATAAGCTCTTAACTTGACCGTTTTCGAGAAAAATCAACTTTTATGTTTAAAAATTAAAAAAAAAAAAATTTTTTTCTAATTAAACAAAATTTATTTTAACATTAGAACAAGTAACAAAACCAAACCATAATTGAAAAATAAAAAATGATTCAAAAGTTGTCTTTGCTAAATTCTCCAAACCGTAAAGGTAACGCATTTCGCACATTTCAGCATTTGTGTAAAAAATCATTTTTTATTTTTTTTTTAATTTTGCAATTATCGTTTGGTTTTGTTACTTTTTCTAACGTTAAAATAAATTTTGTTTAATTAATAATAAAATTTTTTTTTCCAAAAATTGACCTAGTTTTTAAACATAAAAGTTGATTTTTCTCGAAAACGGTCAACTTTAGAGCTTATGACCAAGAGTACCTTTTTTATGTAGAAAACATTGGCGGTTCGAATGGACCTCTCAAAACCGTAGTTTTTTCAGGGGCGTAGAAGTTGAGGAGAAAAACACCCGCTACCCCTTCAAATCTACACCAATTATGAGTTAAAAAAAAATTTTCTGGCACAAAACATAGCTTATTATGAGTAGAAAATGCTTACAAAAGCTGTTTTTTGTAAGATAAACGGTTCCAGAGATAATCGAAAAAAACGATTTTTTTTCTAAAATTTCAACACCCTGTATCTCGAAAATTGTGCATTTTAGAGGGTAAGTTAATAACGACTTTTTTTATCTTTTTGGTTGAGCTATCACATCCTGAAGTCCTGCGCATATATTATGAAACACCCTGTAGAGGGGGGAGAATGAGCTTTAACGTGCGCGGTCAAAAATGTTGGTGTTTCTGCACGTTTTAACAGCACAAGACATTTTATATCACAGAAATTCTTACAATATAAAAACACAACCAAATTACAAGTATACAAAAATTCAACTAAACCAAAGATATTGGTGTAGAAAACAGATAGAAGTTATTATTCGCAGATAAAAAAATCAGGTGGTTGTTTTTAGACCATTAAACCTCTCAAAACAGTGTTGTCATGAAAGTTTACGACCAACAATTACAAAATACCCTATTTTACTCACAAGAGTAAAAAATAGTTATATATACACTGCGCGTCAAAATTAACGCATAATAAGTAAAAAAAATCTTACTCTAAAACTCCTTTACCAATCTTTATAAAATTTTGGAAAAAAATACTTTAACTTATATCTAGTTTACGTGTTTAAGTTTTTTTCGAGAAAATATCCAAAGCCCTTTTATTTAATAATAAAAAAACGCTCAAAAAAAAACTTTTATAGGGAATTTTTTTTATGTAAATAAAAAATATACTGTGAAATACCGTATTTTTGTAAGTATACCCTGAAAATTTTGTATAAATTAAACAAACAGTAACGAAAATACAGCGCTTTAAAGTCTTCATAAATGACCACTTTTCAGCAAAATAATCAAAAAGGGTTCATTTTTACCGACTTTAAAGCACTGTATCTTCGTTACTGTTCGTTTGATTTGTACAAAATTTTTAGGGTATACTAACAAAAATACGTTCTTTAACAGCATATTTTTTATTTACTTAAAAAAAATTTTCCCTAAAAGTTATTTTTCAAACGTTTTTTATTATAAAATAAAAGGGCTTTAAAAATATTTTCTCGAAAAACCCTTGAACTTGTAAACTGAGATATAAGTATTTTTATACAAAATTTCATAAAGATTAGTAAAGGCATTATAGAGTTAGAATTTTTTTAATATGCGTTAATTTTGACGCGCAGTGTATATATATATATATATATATAAATTTTCTAGCGCTTGGCCCTATTTTGACAAATGAATTTAATTTTGTATTCATCAAGAAGAATCATAACAGAATAAAATTATGATTCTTCTTGATGAATTATTATGTTTATTCAGTATTCTAAGCGAAATTTTCAAATACCCGCTGTAATATTTTATTCTCAAGCATGGCGAATATACCCGATTTTCGGGTAAAATACCCGCAAACGGCAACACTGCTTATAAAACTAATAACAAGCGACAATGGCGTCATCTGTTTATTTTTTATTAAGTTTGCCAATCAGAGATAGAGAATTCTATATTTTCGACATCTAGTTCAAAATGTCAGCCATAAATCTGTCGCCATAAAATTGGATGCGAAATGGTCCAAGCACCTTCTCCCCCCTCTATATTTCTGGGCCTCCAATCTTTTACCAAATAGCCAAAACTAAATTTGTTGTTAACATGACAATGACAAATGCAATCAACATATGCTTACTCAAATAATAAAATATGGTTGGTTTAAATAATAAATTAATTTATATATTATCAAATTCTGATTACGATTATATTTTCTACTAAATACATTAGGTACATTTAGAATACCAACATTTGTAAATTAAAATTGAATTACCAGTATGAAATAAAAATTAATGTGTATTTTTTTTTAAATAAATATCATATAATTTATGTTGGTAGTCGTATTGTTTATAAATGGTTTTAGAGTAAACATCAGTAACCAGTTTGTGGCATAAAATAAATATATTACTATCCTAGATAGAAATATTTATGTCCATCAATAAATTATAAACCTATAAAGTTACGATTACCTATATATTTGTATAAATTTAACTGCTTATTATGTTAAATTAAAACATGTTAATAAATAATAAAATATTTAAGGTATTCAATTAATAACTAATTAATAACGTTTGAGTCTGGAAATAATAGTTTCAAAAATGGCGAATGTGCCGGGATATTACATTTGTATTAAATTTTTGTATTTTTGGAGCTTACAATAAAAAACAATATTTTTATTGTCATGAATAAAAATAAATTGTTTTTTGAAGGTAAAAAACAATTTATTTTTATTCATGACAATAAAAATATTGTTTTTTATTGAAAGCTCGAAAAATACAAAAATTTTGTTTTAAGAATGTTTATTTACAAAAATTACTAAAGCATCATTGTCAGTTCTGATGAACTAAAAACAAGCAATTATATAAAAGAATAATAAAGAACGAATATTTTTTAATGGACGAGTGCGAAAAACCGTCATGAGTTTTTTAAACTATATTTTCCATTGGCCAAAATTTTGAGAATAATGTCGATTAATATCTAATTATAAATTATTAAAATAGCGATTTAGGGATTTATCCTGCAAATTGGTAATTTTTTGACAAAATCCCTCAGGTATGGTTAAAAGGCACATATTAACGGCGAAATATGACAGCAGGTCTGAAGTATTATTAAATATTCATCAGATTTATTTTTTAAATAATCTATATTGCCCTAACCTATACAGGTTATAGTATAGTTTTTTGAAAAATTGTTGCAAATGGAAATACGACCTTTTGAAAAATCACTCCTCAAATGTAAGCATAATGTCTTTTACTAGCAACACAGAAAATTAGCTTAAACAATACGCTAAAGAAGCATCGGGTTTTTGAAACGCACGCGCCATCTGTTGGCGCTCGATATCATAATTGAGCTACAAGGTTTGTACATACATTTAAGGCAAACGAAGTACACATTATTTTTAAATAAATAGGTAGTTTTTTCACAAAAAAAGAACGGCAAAAGTCTTACTCCACAAATTTTGTTCTTCAAGTTTCTATTGGACAAATAAATTGCGTACATTATTTGTCTTTCGCCTTGCAAGTATAAACTGCAAAATTTGTACTACTATATTTTGATTTATTATTAATATTAATAATATTATTTATAAATAAACTCAACGCTTACATGATTATATAGTTACGTTAGTGTGTGTATTTTATCTAAGTGATCAAGGTAAATTATTATGTGTTTAATTGTAATTCATAAACTAAATCGTTGCATTTTCATGTTTTAACAAAGGATTAAATTTGGTACATTTTAAAGAAATCTAACAAAAAATATTAGTAGTACAAACATAACCTTAAAATCAGGGATTGTATGCAATTTATTTCTTCATTCGGATTTCCACTGTTTATTGGAATACCTTTAAACTTAACCACCGATTTCCTCGAAAAACACCCAACACAACAATCATTCCACGTTTTTGTTTCTTGATATTTATAACATTTTTCAGCCTTATACTCGAAAAAACTCGTTTTTAACATATGCGTTTGACAGCTGATTATTAAAAGTTGTAGTTTGGTTACGATGATAACTGCCTAGTGGTGGTGCTACTATCGATGCTTCTTTGACGTATAATAATAACATATTTAAAAAAAATCCCCCGTCTATTGGCGCTATCGTAATAAGATATTATGAAACGCAAATGCATGTCATAATGTTGCTTATTATAATACGCAAGTGAAAAAAAACAAATTTAAAAAATAAATATTTACCATTTTAAACCAAAAATCAAAATTTTACGTCTAAATTAAAACATTATAATAATTATTTAAGTCATTCCATACCAAATATCAAAATAATCCGAAGTACGAACTCTTTCCTTGCAATATTCTAAGCTTGTGTTTGTCTGTCTGACTGTCACAGCTTATTTTTTTTAAATCTCCTAGACAAAAAAAGTTAAAAAGAGAACTATACGCCTTAAAGAGTAAAGAAACGAATTTTGTTTTAAGGGGCGAATTAAAAATTTATAAAAAAATATTCAAGTGTGACTTAGATATCAAATGAAAGGGCTCTTGTATTGATAAATACCCAGAAAACAGCCAGACGTCGAGTGACGAAGATGTAACCAAATCAAAAAAAAAAAAATCAAAAAATCTTGCTTCTGGAACTTAATTAAAGCTCAATGTATCAGCATCCGCAACAATTGTTTTTAGAAAGTTTGGATCATTTCTTGCGACAACACCGACGTCTCTAGAATTCCAAATTCTTATTGATTTTTGATCATCATTTAAAGCGTGTGGAATAAATTTAGCACTTTTGTGTACACTTGCTACATCAATCGGAGTGTTTCTGATGCACTTTTAGCAAGTTTTGGGTGGAATTTTTCCAAAATAAAATCTTAACCCTAGATATCTATGATTAAATCAAAAAATATTTGGGAGATTTTTTATCTTTGTCAACCAAAGGTCATGACATTTTTACATTTCTACGGGTAAAGAGTAAAAAGACAAATCATATACCCACCGGAGAACAAACAAAAATATCGATGGTTATTTGACAAAACATCGTAAGCGACAATTTTGTAGAATTACTTTTTATTTTCTCAAAGTGTCAGTTACGATAAGCTGCACATGTTAACATAATAGTTATTCCAATTTTGGAATCTAATATTGGTCAGTTTGAATATTTTTATTATTGTAAGCGCCTCTTCTTTTTAATTTGTTACCGATTTATAACGTAAGCGCCTATATGTTCCCGACAAACAATCGTAAGCAACTCCGAGACATGGCGTTTGCGATTTAACATTGTGTCGCTTACGATAATATTGTGCTCCCTCCTTGATCTATCAAGGCGTTATTCCCGCTCTAAACAGTTTGTTCGTGAGTATACCTGCATCGTGGTGATTGCTACCACAATCCACAATGTGGATTGTGATTGCTACCAAGTTTTAAAACAATATTTTATTTGATCAAAAGCTTATAATTCCTTTTTATCATTGCAATATTAATAGTTATCCTAATTATAATTGTTTTTACATAGTGTGGTTCGTTAAAAGTGTTTTTTTGTAGTAATTGTATGTTGTTATAACGTCAAATAATTTGACTCAAGTTTATAACGGTACAATGACGGCCAAAAAATTTCCAACGACCTGTCATTCAGTTGATTTTAAAATGTAAAACTGCCTTTAGTGACAACTAACCTTACTTTCTGAAAGTTGTCAGTGTGACGTATTTCATTGTTGATTGTGTTGTTTTAAGATTAGATTCTCTGTCTACTTTTTGAAACTGCTTGTCATCTTGTCAAAAATGTCCCTAAGGGTTGGTTTGCACAGACATTTTTTTAAATGACAGAAGTTTGATATTCGAAAATGTAACTTAAGCGACAAGACTAATTTTACATTTTTCTAAAGATGTTCTTATAAAATATCGTATGCCACAAAATTTAATGAAAATTTTAGATTGGATTTGATCTAACTTAAATATTTGAATTCTACATTAATAAAATAATGCCTCACCAGTTTTCAGATAAATAACTTTAAAAATAAAGCTCCTGCACAAAAAAATCCCTCCTGTAAAATTTAGGTTTTGTCGCTTACGATGTTTTGTCAAATAACCATCGATATGAAGCAAAGCTTTGGCAGGTTTTAAGCTTTGGTGTCAAAATGACAGATAACGAGGGAAACGTTCAAATGAAAAAATAAAAAGAGAAAATCCAGAAGAAGGAATTTAAGGCATGAAGACTTAAAAAGCATGAAGCAATGCAAACGGACAGTACGAAACCCTCTCGAACTCGAGTCCGATTTTTTATTGTATGCATTTGTAATGTAATATTTGCGGACTGATTTATTAATTTAAAAAAATATTTTTTTTATGAAATCTTCACTAATTTAAGATAAAAAAGGTACCTAGTATAAATTAAAATATATTAATTCCATCAAAACCATGAAAAAATAGGGACCGCTTAGCTTGTCTCCAAAAATTTCTTTCCTCAGGATCTGGCAGAAATTTGATAAAAAACGTCCATTTCCTTAAGGCTTTTTTATCTGAATTATTTTAGTTGTCTTATTTTTTTCAATTTCTCTTTTTCTTCAATGGTATTCAGTTTTTTATTCTAATAAATTAGATTTACACTAAATGTAAATATTTATTGATAGAGAATGGGCAGGTTTAATAAATGTTTGTTCCAGTATTCAGTGAGTAATTTCTGTATGGACCTCCCTCAGCTAAACCTCATACTGTTCAATGATCTCTTTCTTAATTTCACAAATTGTTTAAGTTACTCTTAAATCTCATCCTTATTATGTAAGGCGACAAGGTCTAGAATAACCTTCTTAATATTAATAATAATAATAATAATAATAATAATAATAATAATAATAATAATAATAATAATAATAATAATTTATTGCCCAACAGAATACATATTCCAATTACAGGACAAAGTACACAACATGTAACATTTTATAAAAATAATTATAAAAGAAAAAAGATATAAAATGAACTTAATATTTTGTTAAAAAAAAACATATAATAAAAAATTATATCATGAATAATATAAATTAAATTAAAATTCCAAATTATTTTGACCGAGAAAAAAATCATGAGCTCTGGACGTAATTTCCTTAATGTTTGAATTAAATAAATCGCACTGGTTACCTATACAATTATAATTACTACACATAACATGAACAGGAGATTTCAAAAGCACGTTAGTTCTTGAGGAACTACAATAAAATGTTTTACTTCCACGAGATTCCAAACGTGGCACTAAAATATTTAAGAGACTCAATAAATGACAAGAATCAATTTGGTAATTAAAAAGTTTCCACAGAAATTTTAAACTTCACTATTCGTCTAACATGTAGGGTATCAAAACGCGTTAAGAGGATGTTATGGTCAGTTCCTCTAGCAGGATAAATATGATCAACTCTGTAGGAGAGAAGTTTAAGGAATCTTCTTTGTACTTTTTCAATTGAGTCAATATGTACGTTATAATACGGGTACCAAATAAGTGAGCAATATTCTTCTTTCCCATTAGTCACATAGTCACTGGTATTTGATTCAACATCAAAGGAAACTTTTTTGATTAAAGTATTTAAAGCATCAGAAGAAGGGTTGTCGACATCAAGGCCAAAAAAATGATGGAAACGTGTTATACATATGGGTTAAAAATAAATAAATAATCAAGAAACACGATTGGGTGATTTGGTATGGAATTACCCATATAGGCATTTTACTGCCTACCAATTTTGATGATTTAAATACAAAACTAAAATAGCAAATATTTAAATCCTAGTCTTTGAAACAAATGAAACTGTTAAATCTAGACAAAAGAAAAATTAAAGAATGAAGGACAAGCACCTTCTGTCCACTGACCGTTTCCGTTGTCCTGCACGCTGACCGCCAACTGTCCCGTATAGGCGTTGAAAGTGGAAGACATCCCGTTATTGCCCATCGTTGGCGACCTGGGCCCGGATAACGACAATTGATTATTTCGTGGCATCGTGTAAAGCGCCTCGGCCAAGTCGGCCGCCCTCTTCAGTATTATTTCCTGAAAACAATTACCTGTTAATTTTCGCTCCGATACCAAATTAACCGAAATTACCTTGGGTAACTTTTCCGGGTCCCCGGGATGCCGGGGGATCAGTTTTTGCAGTCTTTGGAAACCATAGTCTATCGTTGGCTCATTCAATGCTAAAACAGTTTTTTAAATTAAAAATAATATTAATTGAATTAAAATTTAATAATAGTATATTATGTATCAAGTTTGATAAACGCCATTTTATAGACGAATTTAATTTAGGCACGAGCGAGCTTGCGAGCGAGTTCTTAAATTAATGAGTGTATAGAAAGTTTATAAACGAGGTGCATACTATACTTTTTCTACGACAAATACTTATTATTAACATAAAATGATTTAAATCAAAAACTTGTATAGAGCGCCATCTATGAAACAACAGGGGAAACTGTTAAATGTCACATTTTTACATTTTATAAACACAATTATAAAGGTTATAAATCGAAATGTATATTGAAAATTGACAGTTTTTCACAGTGAAAGTAAACGAAATGTTTTATGAAGACTTCACAGTAGAGTCCGTGCCCGAATTTAAGTTTACTGCCGGCGAAATTAAAAGGTCAGTACAATGTTCATATAAATATTGGCTTTGAGAAACTATTTAATATTTTTGTATTTTTGTATTGAGATAATAAAATAATTTTCACATTTAGTATTATTTTACAAGAAAGGCACTTTATTTTAACGATTGTATGACATTTGACAACTATCAACTAACTTAAAACTAACTTCAGCCCGTGACTAAAAACCTGTTGCTAACTTCAGCCCGTGACTAAAGCGCCGTAAACCCACAACTTGTCAATGTGTATTTAAAAGGTCACTTAGTGTCATGGAAACATGTACGATAAAGGGCGTTTTAAAGGTGGGAGTAGAAAAAATACTTATTTATAATTATGGAGCAAACATGCAAACGCCGATAAATCCATTTTAACTTATTCTCTGTTTTGGTTTTTCCTTAGAATGCTGTGCCAAGTCAACAGAGTTTAAAGAGTCTAAAAATTCGTAAAAATGGATTTATCGTTTTTTGCATGTTTGCTCCACAATTGTATTGAAATAAAAATTAATTTTATCCGCCATCACTATAATTTATAAATCTCTTTAGATTAAAAATGGTTGAAAATAAAATTAATTAATCATAATAACCCAATTATATTTTTTATATACTTACAAACATAAACAAATCTTCCGGGCGCTCCTTTGCAGAACTGTTTTGATTTATATGAGAGTGTAACTTCCACAACTCCGGGAATGTGCCTCGGTGGCGTTTGTACCCTTATTGCGTGCGGTGTAATTAGCTGAAACAAAGTTAATATCGTTTTATCTTATTTATACTTGTGTTCTTTAAATTCTCCGCCGCTTTGTGCCGCACGTGCAGGTGTCGGAATTTATGAAAACTCGTAAACTTTCTGAACAGTAATTTATACGCGTTGGTTTTTAATATAATTAAAAATATTTTTAATTAAGATGTGCTAGTTTTAAGTTTTTTTTTTATTTTGTATAATATTAGTTTCATAAATTTTTTCCACAGAAATAATCAAAATTTTACAAAACAAAAAACAATATTTTCGATTATAAAAATTTCCTAAAACTTTTTTTAATTTGTTGACTTTTATATATTTTAATTGTTTATAATTTAAATGTTTTTATACAGGATGTTATGTAATTAATGTTATATATTAAAATACTGAATACCTTTTGGAGGAGTAAAGGAAAAATATTTAAAAAAATATGCATTAGAAGTTTTTTATATTTTTTGTGATATGCCACTGGTTACACACTTGGTTAATCTCTGCACACTTGTGTTCTGTGAGTACATAGATACCAACCAACGAAGTAGCTGCGCGTTGCCAGATGTAAAAAATTGTTACTAAAAATTGTTCTTGCAAAAAATAAATAAAAATTCCATAAGTACAAAAGTTTTATTCTCTTAAAGCTCGAATACCCTTCTGTATTTATTTACTCATCCAGCTATTAGCTTAAGCAATGATTATAAAATTTAGTACCATAAAATTAATTTTTTCCAAGGTTTTTTTCATTCCGTTTACTCAGATGAAATTGGGACCAGTTGACAGGTTAAACTTGAAAGAATTTGGAAACGTTGTTATTACCAACCATAACATAATAAATTAAATTAGGCAACCAGATTAGCCTAAAGTTTCTAGTCAATCAGTGGAGTACTTTTTGGTAGGATAAAGGTTAGTATAAATTATTTTTAGTCTTCGGAATTTAGAAAAAAAAGTTTCAGGTGCTTCTTTATGGACCCTAAGGAACAACCCATTTTAATATATAACATTAATTACATAACACCGTGTATATTTTGTATAATGTTGAGTTAAAAATCTATAATTACCTCACTCCAGACTAGCATAGTTCCAAAGACGACTTGCAGACCATCAAAAAAGTTGTCACCAACGATGATGACTGTTGATCCACCTGACGTCCATCCCTCGCTCGGGCTAATGGCTTTGATGCATGGGGTGGCAACGGGTAGAGGAGGATAGAGTCCTGGAAATTGACCTTAAAATTTAATGTAGATACCTCTCTCTCAAACATCTGCGTCTACTACTAATTATTCAAACAATCATAAATTACGTTCGTTTCTGAGATTTTTAAGATGATACGAATAAATTAAGACGGGATTGTAACGGAGTGAAACATGCTTTCTGGCTAATACTGGAGAATTGGGGTAAGATATTAGCTCTCGTCTTGAGCAGCAATAAAGTAGGAAAGGAAGGAAGGAAAGAAAGAAAGGAAAGAAAGAGAAAGTGAATAAGAAAGAAGATTAAGGGGCCTGTAAGAAACTGCAGGCACTGGATGGTGTTTCCGCTTCCTTCCTCCAGTGAACTGAATCGGGAGCCAATTTCACAAAGTTTTAGATCCGCCACGGGTCTGCATACAAACTAGATGTTTCCGCGGAGCAAGCTGTAGAACACTGGCGTACCGTGATATTGGCGTACATTTTCCACCGCGCACACGATCCAGACAACAAGATTTTATTTACTAAATCTTATTTTTTACCGAACGAGGATTTATGACTGTTATGACTAGGAAAATTCAATATTCACCTTCTGTCGGATCCAATCGTTTAGCTCGTCTGCCGTGTTTGGAATTATTATGAACAAACATGTTGTCCGATATCGCCAGCAGTGGCCCATCTACTGCCACCTGTGTGGATATTACCACCTGCAAGAAATTTTTGCAAAATTATTATTTTATTCTGTTAACATTTTAATAAGATCGAGCATGCCGCGCAAACCAAGTTTGCGGGTAAGTAATCTTATATAAAACACTTTAGTGTCAAAACATAAAACGAATTAGGTACTTCCATGAGATTGAGGAGAAATAAAATAGTTTAAAAGCCCCAACACGTTAATGTCTATTTTAAAGATCACACTTAATGAAGGGTCATCATCAGTTATAGGGTCAATTTATTTTGGTGTCAGATTTCCAAAACTTAAATTGACAAGTATTAGATTTGTAAATTAAACGATCTTGATTTACAATGAGAAGAAAATATGTATTTTTGACGATCGATAAATACAATATTGCATTTCCAAAAGTAGACTGTTTTCGATGATTTTGGTTTTTATTCTCAAATCTCTTCTTGGTCGATTCGGAGGATTGTGTTTACATTTAGTCCAGCTTGGATTTGAATAGACTGTAGTTATATACCAATTAGTTAATCAATTTCTAAATGATGGTATACGAATCAAGAAGAACATTTACATTGGTGGATGCCTTTAAATGGTGAAGACCCTATTTTAAATCCGGACCTGGTGCTCGTAGCTAAAATACTTTTAATTTTATTTGGTATTGTAGGTATTAGTATCTGTAGTGAGTAATCTTATTAGTAGAGTAAATAGCTCTGGACAGCTGCAGCAATCCACAGGTTAATAATGGAAGTCGCGCGTCGTGGCGCTTCCGTGCGATATGAAAAAAGTCGATAGTCGGCCGATAAAGATAGTGCAGCCATTTTGCACAAGAAGGTGAGTGCGGAAGTATATTACAAGACAGACTCCTCCCTCGGGACGTTCGCGCTCTCCCCAGAGACCCCGCACCCCCACAATATACACGCGTTCCCATGGGAACCACAGATGATGACGGCGTAGCGGCCAGTAGGCGGCGTTCGATACGGTTTCTGAAATACGGCCATCGACCATCGCGAGATACTCGACGGCGGTGGCGGCGGCAGAGGGAAATAATATCGCCGTCGGACGATGTCTACAATTTCCCAGTTTTCCAGATCTTATGTGTCTCACTTCGGCATTCACACTGCTTCGACTAACGGCCTCATAAATTCAATAATAAATGCAATGTATGAATGTGGAGCTCGATACGCGCACCAGAAATTTGATACAAAAATGTTTATACTCCCATTTAACCATTAAAGTGGAACAATATTTTAAGAAAATCTTTTTTAATGCATAGAATATTAGCAAACGGATCCATACAATTACAAAAAACATGGTACGGATTTAAAAATACATTATATTAGGCTAAATTCAGGGACGGATTTAGCCTCCACGAGGATCAATGTAAATGATCTGTACATAACAGAACGTAACATGTTTTGACCTAAACGTTTTATATAAACTGCGCAACACTCAATGTGTCGCGACCAAAAAGTTCGTTCTTTTTCAAAACGACATAACTTTTTCGTTTCTTGAACGATTTTATTTTGGTCTGTGATGTCTCTTAGCCCCATCCTCTGGCAATTCATGATATATACATATATGAAGCTTAAGGTTCTTCAAGTAAATTTCCTATAGGGTAATATGTTAAACGGTGAAAAATTTCAATAACTTCATCCAAGCCCCGTTTGTAAAAAAAAAATTTTCTTGTTTTTACTTTGAAATAATGAAGTATTATGTCTTACCTTGAATCATTTTTCAAATTTTTGGAATTGGAATCTTGACAACGAAAATATGATATTTTTTTTACAAAAGAGGATACTATAGTATAGTATATAAAAAGGATAGATGTATACATTTAAGGCTTTTTTGTAGGCAATTTAACAGCCGGGAATTGTTTTCGAATTTTGATTCTTAATGATTTTGGTTTTATCTGAAACTTAAATTTGACAACTGAATTACAATCAGAAGGTCAAAATTATAAAGAAAACATGTCACGAACATAAATATCGGTTCAGGATTAGTTTTCGCAAATTTTCACCAAAACGTCATTTTGAAAAAGTGGTCTTTGCTTAGGCCCCTCTGAAAATAATGGAAGTTTGTTGCCTGTCGCTTGTTCAGAATTATTCAAGGAACAATCTTTCACCATCTAATCTCATTGTTCTTAAAAGGACTGAGTGTATTGCCTACCAAAAAGCCTTAAATGTACTCTTTTGAAAAAAAAAATCTAATTTTCTTTGCTAAGATTCCAATACAAAAAATTAATTAAAAATATACTTCAATATTTCAAAGTAAAAACGAGAAAAAAATTATTTTTTTACAAACGGGGCTTAGATGAAGTTATTGAAATTTTTGACCGTTTTACATATCACCCTGTACGAAATTTACTTGAAGAACCGTGAGCTTCATATCTATAGCATGAATTGCCAGAGGATAGGGCTAGTAGACATCACAGACCAAAATAAAATCGTTTAAGAAACAAAAAAGTTATGTCGTTTTGAAAAAGGATGAACTTTTTGGTCGCGACACATTGAGTGGTGCGCAGTTTAGTTTAAAAAAAAATTGTCCAAAAAATTTTGCAAAAAAATATAAATTGTTTATATTACATTATTTAACTATATAATTATTAATATGTTATAATAAAAAAAATTGATTAAAAAAAACGTATTGATTTTAAATTCTTACCTGGAATCTGCGCATGTCCCTTGGGTTTCCAGCGTTTTTTAAACAATTTTGATTGCACTTGAGGAAGAATTTCAGGAAAAACCTGCAACAAATCAAATGGTTTAAATTAGTATTTAGGAAAAATCGGATTACAACAAAAAGACACTTATTTGGCAGGGCCCTAAACTGTAGGAGGTGGACAGAAAAATAGGATGACTCTGCGACTTGTCCAAATGAACGATTCCTGTGCTAATGTTCTATTTATTCCGATAGAGGATCGACTGCGCCAAAAAGTAAAATCGAAATTTTGTGGTAGTTAATAATTTTTTTTTTTTAGATTTCATACTAATTTTTAAATACAGTAGAAGCTTGATAAGTTAAAGTTCAAGGGAAACGTTAAATAGTTTGAGTTAAGGAGTTTTTAAAGGTTTATATTTTTACTTAGTGAAATTTATGTGCTTTGGGGATTTGCGTTAGCCCCTTTAGGTTAAATACAAATGTTACTTATAGAGGTTACTTTAGGTTAAGGAGGTCGCCAAGACACTACATTGAGTAACAATACAGAGGGCCAATGCTGATGTATGAAAGTTTATTTATGATATTATTGTATTTGTCTTATTAAAAAAACTATAAAGATTTAAAAAAATATTTCACTCTGTAAACAATTGAGAAAAAAATCTTTATGGTTCTTACGATATGTGGAAAATATTAAGGACCAACCCATATTTAAAAAAATATATTTAACACAACCTATTAACATTTAATTAAAAATATCCCATAAAACAAATATAAGTGCTATTTAAATTTATATAAAATAATATAGGTGGATCCTACATTATAAATAATATACAGTGAGCACGTGAAAATTCCCCTATATTTTTTGAAGTGCTAAATATAGAAATTGGAAAATTTGTTAAAAACTTTGATTATTTTTTTCATTAGGAATAATCCTAGTGACACAATCTATAAAAAGATATTTGCAAGCTGATCATAACAAACTACTTATTTTTAGTAAAGTGGGTCTCCAAAATTAGATCCAAGTTTGACAAGTATTATTATTATTATTATTATTATTATTATTATTATTATTATTATTATTATTATTATTATTATTATTATTATTATTATTATTATATTATTATTATATTATTATACTATAATTGAAAGTTAATCATTACAAAAATACTAGGTTTTAAATGTAAATTTTATGTTGCTAATTTCCTACAAACCCTGTATACAATCTGAAAAATAAGTAGTTATTTATATATAATCAGCTTGAAAAGACCTTTTTAGTGATGTGTCACAAAATGTACAATTATCATGATTTATGATTATTGTACAGGTATAGATAGACTCTATTCTATAGAGGTTCGTCGGTGAGCGTTTACGCAGCTCCTAGGAAAGTCTTGTCCCTGATAATATTCTATCTTTATAAGATTTAAAAATAAAACTAAAAAACCATGTTAAATTTTACACTTTCATAAGAAACCGACTTATTTATAATAGTATATTATGTATCAAGTTTGATAAACCCCATTTTAGTCACGAATTTTAATTGGAGACGAGCGATCTTGCGAGCGAGTTTTTAATTAAATGAGTGTCTAGAAATGTTTATAAACGAGTTGCATACTATACCTTTTTCTATAGAAATATACGTACCTATACGACAAATACTTATTATTATCTAAAAATGATTTAAATTAAATATTTGTATAGAGCAACATCTATAAAAAAATAGAGTAACTCGCGTAAATATTTCTAACTTGGAATTCTGTATGCGTAAATCGAAATGTATCGCTGTAAAATGGACTAACAACCGTTTAAATGATGATATAGAAGCAGTTTTTCACAGTGAAAGTGAAGAGAATGTTTTATGGGAACTTTACGGTGAAATGTTCAATCTAGTTTACAGCCAGCAAAATCAAAGGGTCAGCACAAATTTGCATATAAACTTTTGTTTTGTTGAGAAACAATTTAATACTATTTATTTTTGTATTAAAATAATAAAATAATTTTCACATTATTATTTAACAAGAAGGGCATTTTATTCTAAAGATTGTATAACATTTGACAACTGTTTACTAACTTAAAATTAACTTAGCCCGTGACTAAAAACCTGTTGCTAATTTCTGCTATTGACCAAAACGTCTTAAACTCACAACTTGGGCGTTTTTAAGGGTGGTAGTAGACAAAAATTATTAAGACATACGCTTAAAAACAATGAACAAAATAAGCTATTATTACACTAGTGGGACAATAAAAAAGAAGAAGGAAAAGAAGACAATTGTAAACAATAAATTACAGCTATTTTTTACATACAGATGATACTTACATAAATATTTACATTAAAGCTTTAAAGGCAATAAATAAAATCAGAGAAAACAATGTTAACCTCCAAACCAAAACAAATCTGTATAAAATAATGTTTACTTATACATATATATAAAACAAAATTAAAAAAAAACTATAAATTGTAAATTAAAGAAAAGATACAAAGAAATGAATTATTTTGAAAATATTATTATTTTAATTAACATTTAAAATATAGATAAAAGAATTTAGAAAACATATTTTAATATTTAAAAGTCTTATATTTTAATAATACATTTAAAAATTAAATTTTTTAACCAGTTTAAAAAGTTTTAGAATATTTAAAAACGATTTTGGTAAGGAAGTTAATGGCGCGTTAAAAATATTATGATGCTTGAATTGAAATTTAAAGATTGAATAAGTTTTAAAGGATATCTCATGTATATTTAATAGGCAAGGAAAAGTTCGCTAAATCCTTTCAATAATAAACTCAATTCAGGTAAATTGCGTTCCACGAGTACGTGCATAATGCAAATATTCTCGTTCTTAACTAGCATCAATTAATAAAACCCATATCACGAGATTTTCATATTTGATGAGGCTCCATTACGTTGTTGAGAAGGTCGCAAGGAACCAGGAAAAACGGAAGTAAGACGAGCGAAAGGCATCTTAGAGAAGCTCCAAGACACGACCAATGCGATTACACGCTTCAGTTGGTAGCCTTGTAAGTTTATTTACGTGACTATGCACAGTTAGCATAATTTTGCAGCTAAATATCGCCCCGTTTAATCTGGTTAAAGGAGGCGGACTACGAGGGTCCTTTATATCGTGTTAGTCTCCTGTCCTGAGGCTACTGCCGCTATATTTATCTTGCCAAGTCCGCTACTCTCGTTTCCAGCATACATTAGTTAACACACTAGTAACATAAGGCATCCAACAATCCTTCGGGCCATATGGGCTACTATAATAAGGTAATATTAGAGTCCCCACTGTTTCGGCTATTATTTCTCCCACCCACTATGTACATGTATAACTTAATTATTCTCGTCGTATTACAATACATATAATATTCTACAAATAAGTATTCTTTGTGTATAATAGACTCACGCATTTTACGCCACGCAGGATAATAACTCTATTATATTCCAGGATCATTTTTAAAGGCGGTCAAATGATACCTAATTTAATATTGCCATTTCATATAATCCATTCACGTTCGGTAGCCCAAACTAACTAAGAGTTTTTTATTAGTTTGGCTACAATGACAATTAACGCGTTTTTGTTTTTTTTATTTTAGTTGTGATTATTCAATTTCAAAATTTGATGACAGCCATGACAACTATAAAAAACCGTCAGAATATTATACGATTGCGGTTCCGAAAATAAAACTTAAATTTAAGCGGCCTAGTATTTCAAAAGCAATTTGCCCAACCTTTCCATACAATTCTGGACAAAAATGTGCAAATCTTATCAAAGAAAAGATTAATTTGACAGATGTACTAACCTCAAATTCAAAGACGCTTTTGGGTCTCACTCCGCCGAAAATTAAATATTGCAAAGCACGTATCACACAGCAAAAGTAACTATAGTTACTTATATAGTATACTTAACCAGAATCTAGTTTGCTCTCTAAAAATGAATTAGTGAAAAATGACTAATTGAGCAATTGCCAAGCAGCCACTAATAATTCTCGTCAAAACAATTTGTATCTCGAAGATTTAGCAGTCAATTTCCAGGTAAAATTATCCCCTGAATCCGAAAATATCGTAAAAAGTTAGAAAAGTAGAACAGTTTTTGAGATATAGTCAATAATATGGAATTGACTATATCTTAAAAACTGCTTTACTTTCATAATTTTTGACAGTATTTTTGGATTCAGGGGACAATTTTACATGAATATTGACTGCTAAATGTTCGGGATACAAATTGCTTTTTATAAAATAATATAAAGTTATTAACAGGGCAAATTGTCTTTTATCATTAACAATTCTCTTATACGAGAATTGTTAATGATAAAAGACAATTTGCCCTGTTAATAACTTTATATTATTTTTTTATTTAAAACCTAAAAAGTAAACAAAAACTTATTTATTTTTTGCAAAGTGGATATTATTTTACATATTTGACATAAACTTTTATTTTTTAATGTTTATTAGTTCTTCAGTTTTTTTAAATATTTAATGGTATTTATTAGTTTTAAAATTAATACAAATTTTAAACTGCAAAAAAAATGTTAATTATCAAACTTTATTATAAAATTATTAATTATCAAACTATAGATAAAATATTTTACATTTAATATCGGTTGTTATTGAAACAAACTAAATAAGATAGACTGTCACTGTCACCATAAAACAAAACTTTAAACCATGATTATAATCATGGTTTAAAGTTTATCTTATTTAGTTTGTTTCAATAACAACCGATATCAAATGTAAAATATTTTATCGTGTTTTTTACAACTAAGTAGGTAATACTGTTAATAATAAAAAATCCATATTCGAGAACAAAATTTTAATTTAGCATGTAAGCAAGTCTCAGTGACATTTTAATATATAATTACTTAAACATAAATTAATTAAATAAAGTATGTTTGATGTTTACCAACTTCTAGATACCTAGTTCTACAAACTAGAAAATTTTCGGCTGCTCAGCTTATACCACCAAGTGCCTAATTGTCAGTATCCTTACTTATACCACAAATAGGATCAAGTCAAAAAGATTATTAAATTTTTCCATAATCTAAAAAAAATAACTTTGCTAGAGTTTTGGTCTCAGAATCCTGGTAAAGTA